GCTGCCCCCCATCCCGCCCTGGCAGGAGCCGCCTGCCGCGGGCAGCGAGCGCGGCAGCCCCTCGGCCGTCAGGACACGGACCCGACCCGAGTCGTCCCAGGACGTGGCCCCGTCTGCTGCTCGGGGCGGGAGAGAGGAGGAGAGCGCTGCCGGGGGCCGCTCTGAACCCGCCACTGCCGATCCTATCGCCTTGGACGCCTTAAGCAGAAATAATTTTGCAAAGCCCAGAATAATTGGAGGAAAATTAGCTGCTTTTACCGTGCTGGCTGATTCAGATGCTTTTATCCCTTGTGAAGCTACTGGTAACCCCCGTCCAACAATACAGTGGACCAAGGTATCGCCAGGTAAGCTTGATGAACCTCTACAATTTACCTTCCAGTATAATCCTATACTCGAGTACGGCTTCATTTAGCAGTACTGAGAGATACCAGTGGAAAGATGAACTTGGAAACAGTGAAAGATATCCCAGCACTCTTGCTGGAGTGTCTTACTGCTAATTATGAAACAGTTCTTTAGGGGAATAAAGAGAAATCTGTGATCTATTTTTAACTGTAATTCTGTGCTTACTGTGAGAAGATTTCAGCAGTTACTGCATGTTACCTGCTGTTCCAGAACAGTGAGACAAGTGAAAAGAGAAATCTGTGGTAACAAAGCATCAAATCAAGTTAAAGCCATACCAAAATAGTTCTGAATCTGCAAAGCCTAGTCACAACCACGCCAAAGCCCTTTGGGGTCTGCACAGCCCCATATGTTTGGTCCAGACTTTGTCTCTGCTGAGGACTCGGTTTTGGTTTTGGTTTAAAGCTTTGTCACTGGCTATGCAAAATGCTATTATTTCTGAGCACTAGTGTCTTATCTGGGCAAAGCAGACGGGGCCAGGGGAAGTGTTTTCAGGGACTGAGCGAGAGGAGAGAGGTTCTGACGTGCTGCGCTGTCGTGCCCTTGCTTTCGCAGGGATGGAGGCTCCGGAAGGCCGCGGGGAGGGCAGGTGGCGGGTGTTTGCCAACGGCACGCTCGCCATCTCCCGGGCGGGCCTGGGGGACCGCGGGCAGTACCTGTGCACCGCTGCCAACCCGCTCGGCGCGGCCCAGCTCCTCGCCACCCTGTCCGTAGTGGCCTACCCGCCCCGCATCGCCGGCGGGAGGTGGCAGCTCCTCACCGCGCACTCCGGGAAGGCTGCGGCAGTGACGTGCAGAGCCGATGGCCGGCCTCCTCCCACCATCACCTGGGTTCTGGCAAACAAAACACACGTCTCCGACTCTTCCGCGGGGAATAACGGCGTTCGTGTGGAACCCGACGGCACTTTAATTATCGAGGAAGCCACTGTTTACGACAGGGGCCTCTACACATGCGTGGCTAAAAACCCAGCGGGCACTGACACGCTGGTTGTAAAGCTGCAGGTCGTTGCGGCGCCGCCCGCTATTCTGGAAGAGAAGAGAGAACGTGTTGAAGGAACCATGGGGGAAAATCTGAAACTCCCTTGCACCGTGACAGGGAATCCTCGGCCCGCTGTCCACTGGGTGCTCTTCGATGGCACGGTGGTGAAACCTCTGCAGTTTGTAAACGGCAAGCTGTTCCTGTTCGCCAACGGCTCCCTCCACCTCAGCACTGTCGCCCCCTCCGACAGCGGGAATTACGAGTGCATAGCCACGAGCTCGACCGGCTCAGACCGGAGGGTGGTGACCCTCGTGGTGGAACGCAGAGATACGCTTCCAAAAATAGCCACCGCCTCACGAGAGGTGACTCGGTTGAACTTTGGGGATCAGCTGCTTCTGAACTGCACAGCGACGGGAGAGCCAAAGCCCAGGATCATCTGGAGGCTACCCTCCAAGGCAGTGGTCGACCAGTGGCACAGGTAGGAGTCTTGGTCTTTTTCCTCACTTCTTTGAAACCTCAAATGCTGTTTTCTCTGGTGCTTGTGTAAGAGACTGTTACATCACAGAAACACTGCGCTGTGAAGGAAACTCACATTTAAATGTTTAGCAGTGGTGGAACATCCGTGATGATGGTGTAATCTTATACGTCAAATACCAGATCCCATCAGTTGTCACAAGTGAGTGGGGTCTTACCAAAATGGTCACCAGTCATATTTGAATTAAAAACCACAATGTTAATCACGCACTGGCCGAATTTTGTCATTTTATAGGAGAAGTTCTTTGTGAGAGGTGTGCAAAGCAGGACTCAGGAGGAAGAGACTGCTGTAGTCTCCAGCTCTTTGTTCCATAATTCTTTTCCTCTTTTTCCCCCCGCAACAGAATGGGAAGTCGAATCCACGTCCATCCCAATGGGTCCTTGGTTATCGAGGCAGTCACTGAAAAGGATGCAGGCGACTATTTGTGTGTTGCCAGAAATACCATCGGAGACGATCTGATACTGATGAAAGTCAGCGTCACCATGAAACCAGCCAAGATTGACCAGAAACAGTATCTCAAGAAAGTGGTGCCGTACGGGAAGGATTTCAGAGTGGACTGCAAGGCCTCCGGGTCACCCGCCCCAGAAATATCCTGGAGCCTGCCCGACGGGACGGTGATCAACAACGCGATGCTGGCAGATGACAGCGGCCACAGGTCGCGCAGGTACGTCCTCTTCGACAACGGGACTCTGTACCTCAACAAAGCTGGAGTAACGGAGGGAGGAGATTACACCTGCTACGCTCAGAACACGCTGGGCAGGGATGAAATGACGATACACGTCACGGTCGTCATGGCAGCCCCTCAGATAAAGCACAACTACAAGACACACATGCAGGTGAAAGCTGGAGACGTGGCATTACTGGACTGTGAGGCCGTTGGAGAACCCAAGCCAAAAATATTCTGGTTGTTACCTTCCAGTGACATGATCTCCTCGTCAACAGCCAGACACCTCCTGCACGTCAATGGGTCTCTGTCAGTCAGTCGAGTCAAACTGTTAGATGCCGGGGAGTATATGTGTGTCGCTCGGAATCCTGGAGGGGACGATACAAAGTTGTACAAATTGGATGTTGTTGCTAAACCACCCATCATAAACGGTTTACACATGAACAAAACAATCATGACAGTGACGGCAGTCAGGCATTCGAAGAAACAAATTGACTGTAGGGCAGAAGGGACGCCCCCCCCTGAGATTATGTGGATCATGCCTGATAATATTTTCCTAACAGCTCCATATTACGGGAGCAGGATTGTAGTACACAAAAACGGGACGCTTGAGATTCGGAACATAAGGCCCTCTGACACAGCCGAGTTCATCTGTGTGGCCCGTAACGACGGGGGTGAGAGTATGTTGGTGGTGCAGCTGGAGGTAGTGGAAATGCTGCGGCGACCGACATTTAAAAATCCATTCAATGAAAAAATAATAGCAAAACCAGGGAAAGCTACTACGCTGAACTGCTCCGTGGACGGGAACCCTCCGCCAGACGTCAGCTGGATGCTGCCCAATGGCACGTGGTTCTCTGGCGGCATCAAGACCTCCCAGTTTCTGACAGGAAGCCATGGCACCCTCACCATCTCCAGCCCCGACACAGCCAAAGCAGGGAGGTATCGCTGCGCTGCCAGGAATAAAGTCGGCTACATCGAGAAGCTGCTCATCGTGGAGGTTGGCCAGAAGCCCAACATTCTGACTCGCCCAGTGGGGCCAGTGAAGGGCATCAGCGGGGAGTCGCTGTCGCTTCACTGCCTGTCCGAAGGGAGTCCCAGGCCAAGGACAGCGTGGACGCTGCCGGGCGGCTCGGTGCTGGAGCGGCCGCAGCTCGGCAGGAAGCACGTGCTGCTGGAGAACGGCACGCTGCTCATACGGGACGCCTCCGTCCACGACAGGGGCGACTACGTCTGCAGGGCCCACAACGACGCCGGGGAGTCCTCCCTCACCGTTCCTGTCGTCATCGCGGCCCACGCCCCGCGGATCACCAACAGGCCGCCGCGGGCCGTCCACACCGTGCCCGGCGCAGCGCTTCAGCTCCACTGCGCGGCACTGGGAATTCCTAAACCAGAGATTTCCTGGGAGCTACCGGACCGCTCCGTGCTCTCTACAGACCACCGAGGCCGAGCATCGGGCAGCCAAGTGCTTCACCCCTCAGGGACGTTACTCATCGAGAACCCCCGGCCCTCGGACTCCGGCGCGTACAAGTGCACGGCGAAGAACCACCTCGGCAGCGACTTCACGGTCACATACGTTCACGTCATCTGAAGTAAGAAACGCAGCACAAAGGAGCCTCCACAAATTTGGCAGCTGGACCGAGCTCAGTCACGGAGTGAGGTTAATCAAAGGCAGCCCCAGGCTAAATACACCCCCCGCAGTCAGTCTGCAGTGGCCCTGCAAAAAGGAGAGGAGGGACCTGGGGAAGATGAGGTCCAGCATTAGTACCTGGCATTTGTTCTTTCAGTGATTAAACAGACAAATTAATTTAACAAACTGAAGGCGCATTTGCTCTGCCAGCAAACAGGGAATATCAAATAAGATTACCTTTTGGAAATGTACCTAGAGATCTTCAGTAGAGGACAAGACTTCTTCAGTGTGAAATGCCCCATGTGACATGAGCATGGATCACATAAACCCAGAGTATCTGAGAACCAAAGAGCAGATTTTATTACGATGCAAATTACTGTCTCAATACATTTGAATATTTAGTATGTTTTGTAATAAATATTCAATGGTGAAACAACAGTGAAGTATTTTTAATAATACAGCTGTTCCACAGAGTCTTTGCGGAACTTTGGGATGATACGTACAGAACAGCTTTGTTCTTGTTTTTAAACAAGAGAGTAAGCTCTGGTTAGTGCTGTTCACAATAAGTACAGACTGTGTGTAGCTCAGCAGCATTTTCCTATGGTCACAAAAGTGTTTGTTAAAAATTTCTCACGAGAAAACAATTGCATCAATTTGTGTATATATTTAGAGCTCTGGTTTCTCAATTCAGTAGACAGGACTAAGAAGCAACCTTTGGTAGTGAGGGGAAAATACCTTAACATGGTAGATGGTCATCAACACATTTTACACTAATGAATCACGGATTGGACTGGTCAAATAAATATTTAAAATAAATGAAGCCAGTAACTACAGCTCAGAATTTCTTAATTTCTTCCAAAGAGAGAGATTAACGTCAGAACAGAGGGGTCAAAATACCTGCACCACGGTTTTTCCCCTTAAATTTGCAGATCTGGGAGGAGGGTTGGCGCTGGCCCTACACCCCGTGGTGCCGCAGGCGGCGCTGCCCGAGCCCTCCTGCTCTCTCCGGCCGCAGGGAGGGCTGAGGCTGCGGGAAGGGCTGGGGGCAGCCGTCCCCTCCCTCGCGCACAGCTCCAGCTCTCCGCGGCGTTCGAAGGAAGGAGAAGCCCAAGAGGGGGCAGACGTCCCTCCTGGGCCCGCAGGATGCCGCTGAGGGGGGCTGGCGGAGCCCTCGGCGCCGTGACCACCCCTGAGCCGCCGCTTCGCGCCCGGCAGCGAGAAGGTGTTCAAGCTCCCGGAGCTAGACGCAGACTCTACCTCGTTTGACCACGTCACAATCAATTTTGGGAGTTTTAAATTGTTTTTATTCGGGACTATAAGCTCAGCTTGGATTGCGTTTGTGCCGGTTTGATCGTTTTCTGACGCCAACCACACACAGCTTGCTGGGCGTGTGTTCCCAACTCCTGCAGCATGGGCGGAGCAGCAGCCACAGAATGGTCACAACAGGTGAATCTCACCAGTTCAGATGTGTAAGAGCTTTAGCTACTATGAAGAACAGTTAAATCTCCTTAAAAGAAGATTAGAGCAGAATACATTTTGACATGAGTAAGACTTACCAGAGCAGAAATACTTTTTACGTAAGACTTACCTGACTGTCATAAAAACCAGTCAAAACCTACTTTTCCTCAGATTTTCGTGCAGTGAGTGTTGTTTCATTAGCTGGCTGCTCGGCCTCCCACGTCCTCTGAAGTTTGTTCCTCTGTCCCCACAGAGCACCTTTGATACCATCCAGAAACTCTCTGTATGGTAGATTAAGCAAATTGAATTAATATAAAACAGGGAGAAGATATTCCTGTGTATATTTAAAACACCCTGCCCTTTCAAAATGAACACATTAAAAAAATCACACAGGCTAACACCTAAATTACATAAAATAGTCATGTTTATTCCGTTTTTTCAACTGAGCAAAATTATATGTGTAGGGGTCTGAACAATAACGATTTGTTTGTGGTAATTCTGATTTATAATGTGGGTTTGCACCAGCTGACGGTACCAACCCCCCCCGGCACCGGACACTCACCGCACGGCGCTGGGGGTGCAGACGGGGCGCGGGGAAAACTCCTCCGGGGCGGCTTCGGCGCGAGAGACCCGTGGGAAGGGCGCGGGGGCTCTGCCACCCCGCTGCGTCGGCGCCGGACACGCGGAGCTTTGCTGCCTGCGAGGTTTCCCCGGGCGGGAGGGGCGTAACCCGCCGCGGCTGCGGGAGCGTCGCTGCCGGTCCCAGCGCCCGTGGTAAAAACACCAGATGTCAAACGCTGCTACTTCTAGTAGGTTTATTAACGGTACATTGTGGCTCTTAATATAAACTTTAAGAAGTTCTAATACAAGCAATAAACCCACTTCAGCACCTTCTTACCACAATAAGAGCAAGAGAAAGTTGGTAGTTTAAACAAAGAACTTTATAAAGTGCATATGAAAATTACAGTCAAATAAACACAATTTAAACTGATGCTTGTTCTACCAACAAAGAAAGAGGTGAACATTTTAATGAACAAATTAACTTTTATGCCAAAATCGGAAGTGCCTTTCAGTTCAGTAGTTTGGTCCAGTGCAGTTCTTAAAAACAAAAAAAAACAAAAAACCCTCCCCAAAGAACTCCCAACAAAAACAAAAAAATAATAAAAATAAAATAAAAAAAGAAGTGTTTCCCTCAAATAAATAAATCCAGCATTCTTCGTCCTCTTTAAAAGTAACAGGACCTAAAAAGCACCAAATTCATAAAATCTGCAATAACATTCTTCAAATAGGCCCACAAATCCATACATTTAAATCTAGTTAAACGCAAAAAAAAAAAAGATCCCCAAACCCAAAAAACCCACCTTGTTACATATTCACATCAACTGCAGCACAAAAAATAAGTATTGAAATAATAAGAAAACTAAAGTCTGCTTGCTAGCAATAACTAGTGCATTGGATTTTGAATGGTCTGTTCTTCAGTGCAAAGGGAACGCGGCGTCTCCCTCCCGTCCCGGGGTCAGAAGTGCGAGGGGTGCCCGTACTGGCTCGCTCCGGGCTGCGCCTGGTTGCCTGCGTGTGACACAAGGGGACCTGTTTGTGCCCGACGTCCGCGCCCCACAGCAGCACCCCCCCCC